AGGCCACATTATACTTACCATCAAATAGTCTTTTTTGTCGCTCTTTTTAACCGACTGTCTCAGAAGGCGGGTCATGTTTTTCGAGAATATGTATGTATGTATGTACGAGGGGCGTTCAATGTATCCCCGGTATTAGGGTGATTTGCTAATGGGTAATTTAAAAAAATCATTAGCTAACGACACTACCTGAGGGTTTAAATACGAAATTTCGTCTTGATGATTGATGCATTACATATGAAGTAAGTTTACTTCTTATGTAACCTTCAGTCATCCAGGACGGGAATGACTCACTCGACAATGTTGAAAAAAAATCGAACACAGTACGGTGATTAAATTCCTCACTAAACAAGGAATAACTAAAAAAACATCCATGAAGAAATGGTGGCCGTTAACCAAGACTCTACTCCTTTAATGTCAACCGTACAGAAGAAGTCAAGTGAATTTAAAAGAGGAAGAGAAAGCATCGAAGATGACTCTCGTCCTGGTGAACCAATCACAGCGGCTACAGAATAAAATGTGAAAATTATTGAAAAATTTGTATTAGAAGATGCACGGGTAATTTTAACATGTTAGCAGAAATTACTAACCAATGCATTGGTTCCATACACACCATATTGACTATATCAACCTCGCAAAAGTGAGTGCAAGATGGGTGCTCCGAATACTCACTGCGCTTCAAAAGCACTGGGTTGACTGTTGTAGGGAGTTTTTAGAGCTGTGTGGTGATTAAACAACAAGTGTTTTCGTTAGGACAATTACAGAAGATGAAACGTGGGTTCACCACTATGAACCTGAGAATAAACAGGAGTCTATGCAATACCATAAAAAGGGATTCGTCAGGTATGAAATTAGCTGTGTCTTTATTACTGTAGCTTGGTGTAATTTAGAAATGCTGAGATCACCGTTATCAATCTAATTATTTAGTGCAGAAAAATATCGTGTAATACGTAACAAATGAGGAAAAACATATTTAATTTAAAAATGCTCTAACATACCCTACGTGCGCGAGGTGCAATATCATATTTTATATGTATACTAGGTGACCAGGCAGACGTTGTTCTGCCCTTTCCGATGACCATTTAATTACCTAAAAAAAACTGCAAAAAAATTGAGGGTCACTTATCGGGATAAAAACTATCCTATCTCTCAAGTTGGACCAAACTGAACATAGTTAGCAAAATTTCATTAAAATCAGTTCAGTAGTACAGCGACACGTACTTTTTATATATAAAGATATTAGAAGTTTCATACATTTGTCATTTACTTTTCGTCAAGTATCCAGTTGTCATCATCATCGTCATTGCAGCCCTTCACAAGTCCACTGCTGACTATAGGCCTCCCCCAAGGAATGTCACAAAGCACGGTACCGAGCCACATGCATCCATCGACTTCCTGCATATCTCTTACCAGGTCGTCAATCCATTTAGTGGGGGGGTGCCTTACACTTTGCCTGCCAGTACGAGGATGCTACTCGAGAGCCTTTCTTCCTCATCGGTTGTCGGTTCTTCGATCTATATGGCCGGCCCATTGCCACTTCATTTTACTAATGCTTTGGACTATGTCGGTTACTGTGGTTCTAGTGCGGATATCCTCGTTTTAAGTCTATCACGCAGAGAAACGCCAAGCCTCTCAATAGCTCACTGAGCGTCTTTGAGTTTCCTCATACGTACTGCAGTGAAGGACCACGTTTCAGATTCATAGGTCATCATCGACACCCATTGACACCTCCTTGGTACAGATTGTCGCCCTCCCGGTGATTCTTAGCAACCCTGCCCCACCGTTACGGGGACTGGGGGCCGTTTATTTATGTCGTTGGTCATAAGGGGTATATTGCCATAGTTGCCACACTTGGCGGGCGATTTAGCAACCGCAGTTTTTTAATTGCTTTTTGCTGTTATCAGAAAGATGCTGATGTCCATCTTCTGGCCCAGTTTCTTTCTGTCGCCTCTTACGACACCCACGGGAATATATGGGGTAGTGAGTAGTCTTACTCGCCACTACACGGAAAGTTCATAATGTTGTTAATCCAGTTGTCATAATGCAATCGAATGGTTGGTGAATGACCTACCTGGAGTACTAGTAAATGCTGATAACCAACGTTTTACCTACTAAGGTGAAGTCTCCCTTGTTCCTTGTGAAAGATCTTTACCATGACTAACTCAGTGATGGTGAAGCTCTATCACCGTCAATCTTCATCGTGGTTAAGAAAAGATGTTTGTAGGCCACACTAACCGTTTACTATTATCGGTTTTGCGGTTTGTTCTGACATTTCCACCCTCAAAAAATATATATGGTCACATTCTGCCAATTATCATTTATTATTGAAATTAGATTTAATATCTACTATTTAGTCGTTGTGAATGGTACCGCAAATCATGTATTTGATGTTGACTTTACATTTCTGTGTCGCTTATCAAAATCGCAAAATTATATCAGTTACTTGAAATACCGCCCTATCATCAGCTTAATCATTGCGATCTTAATCGACGTCGGTAGCATTTTGAATAGAATTCAAGGAGGTTCTTCATTCAATTATTTGTGAAGTAGTTATTCCGTCAAGTGCTTTATAATAAGATCGCAAATTTTTTTATCACAGTACAATGAATAAAATGAGCTTGACCGATATCACTGGACAGAATGTGTTACAGTTACAGTGCCTATCGCTTATCGCAAACATAGAGACACCACAGTTGTTCAAATTCACATAATTATATAATTTATCATATGCAAACATTAATATTTTCGCTGGTGTAGAACAAAATACCTAATTCTCAATATTAATGGATTCATAAGTACCTCACTTGTTTTCATTATTGATCATACAATATGCAGAGCAGAAAAATAATGTTTTACGTTAGCAAAAGTGTAGTACTTATCCGATCAAACCGTTTTATTTAAAATGCACAACTAGTGTCTGGTTATATATTGTAAAATGGTCCTACTTCTTTGTGTGTAATAACTGATAAATTAGAAATACTTCGCCAATATACTTAAAAGTAAAGCAAAGTTATAGCCTATAAACGTCGTACTGTTGGGCACAGGCATAATCTTATTTCCAAGAAGGTTTTAGTGCTGGGAGGTGTCCGTCGCGCTGCCTTAATGCGTGTTGGAGGGCTTCACATGTTTTCGAAATAATTTTTTTATAGAATAAGGGTGACAAACGAGCACACACTCCACTTGATGGTAAGTGGTTGCTATGGCCCATAGACATCTACATCTATCCTCGATTACGAATCAAAATGCAGATGCGTTGTCACCCGTGAGGACTGAGATGGAATGCCTCGTTTCCAGTAAAAAGGGTCTCCGGTTCTCTACACTCACCATACGAAACATAGCAGCGTTAAGCTGCTATTTTACGTTGGTATTCTGTGAGAGCGTGGTCCTTCCCCGGTCGAGCCAACCCATTCGTGCTACAACTATATTATATAGCTGCAACATGGCTCTACCACGTATAAAAAATTGTTAATTATATTTATTATTTCTTATTTCTCAGACCTGCAGGTTTTCTCACCATGTTTTCCTTCACCACCGTGTACGTGGTATACCAGCACTTAAAATTGTAACTTACTTTACTAAACAAATTTTTACGTTAATAAAAATTTATGTATATAATATGATCAAATTTCACACAATATTATTAATTAAAAATTATAGATAGGGTAATATATAATTAACGCAGTGCATACCAAGAAATTAAATTTTATTGGCGAATTGTCAGCACCGTGACATGAATGTATTCATTCATATTATGTAACTGTAAGTTGGGATAGACTAAATCAAAAAAAATCTAGACTATGTTCTATTCTGGTTTTTATTGCCGAGTTTCATTAAAACCGTTCAGTAGTTTTGCGTGATTGACTGATTGTTAGTACTTAAGGAAAAATATTACAATATATAAAAATATTAAGGTTCTTACTCCTTCCGCATGCAAAAAAAAACTTTAATTCCCACAGTAATGCAACTTCTACTGTTTAAACATGTTTTTTTATCTCTAGACTTTAATTTAAGCTACCTTAAAATAAAATTTCAAATTGATTATTAATTTTCAATAAAACTAATTTTATGTATTTAATTGAGTTTAATTTTAACTTATTTTATATGCGCGATAAAATCTGTAAAATTACTTTTATTAATTGTGTAATATGAAATCATTCACTATAAAATAATTCCAATGTCAAACATCGATGCTCTCCCTTTATCATGGATTCTGATAAATGTGTAGACTCCTTAACTGCAGTGAAATATATTTTTAGATATTATGTATGTTATTGTCATGGCATACTTATACAAACTTAACAAACTAAAAATTACTACGTATTGATACTTTTTGATGTTAAGTAAATTATTGATTGGCACGATTTTTCTTGCAAGTAATCGTTGCATAATATATAGTAAGTAGTTAATTTTGTAAAGCATTCCGAGATCGGACTGATAAATAATTTGATGCCGAAGCTTGCATTTCGAGGCCTTTTTTCAGTTTACAATTGGACCGTGCACATATTGTCATAAATATGTAATTACCAGTTAAACTTGTACGTAACAACTGGATATGAGTATGTGGAATGCTGTTGACCTAAGTGAGTGCATATTTTGAATAGCATAGGCCAGGGTAACTGTGGAGGGTATAGTAGACAGATACACTTTCCAAATCCAGTCTTTGTCGAATTCTTACGTTTGTAACAACGTCACAATAATTCTTAGGCAGAAAACATTTGCAACCTTAATCAATTATCGAAACATTAATCATAGAGCCACGATAAGGATAATCATTATGAATTGTATGAGCAAAATTTTTTTTCAGTTCTACTTGGTTCTTACATCCATACACACGCACTTAAGTAGCGTTTTGTTCGAATAGTCCATGGTTACAGTCAGCATCAAACGTGTTAGAAATGAGGTACATCTTTATTGTTTTTTTTCCAACTAATAAGTGTGTGTAAACAACTGAATAACAATGAACATAAATATTTTTAAGTGCTAAATTTTAAATATCGTGTAAAATGGGAAATACCAAATCGAAGAAAGTTCAGAAAGAACCCGATAAATTCTTCGAGCGTGAAAGATGGAAGGAGCAGAAAAGAGAAGAAAAGAAGAAGAGGTATGCTAATGCGGCAAACAAACGGATGGCCGTGAAGGAACCCCCGTTAACCCCTACGTCGGCTTTGGTGCCACCAGCACCAGTGATGGCACCTGCGCCAGCCAATGTTCGATCCTATGATGACGAAGCTTTAGACCGAATGAGATATCAGCTTCACAACGATTCAGATGCCTTTTTACTCAACAACATTCTTCTGTCCGTCCAGTTTTTTGAAAACTATGAACGGTAAGGCAAAGGCACTAATATTTTGTGATATTTAAATCATTACCCATACATAATACGGAAATAGACGTTTTATTAATTTTGTTTTGTATGATAAGAAAGATAATTTCTTAATAAAATCCTTTCTTGGAAATCCTTCCTTAGTTTCGGATTTTTTGATCGTATCAATTGTTTTCCAATACATATCGTATTTGCGTATTTATAATTACTTTGAATGGCACTATCATAATCTGCTGATATTTTTTCTGATATCAGTAAGCTCATAAGCATAATATTTGTGTCAAGATGACCACTGGAGTATAATGTGATATTTTGCAATTAATCAAGATTGTAAAAATCACTGCATGTGGATTAAGATTTTCCCTCACAAGCAATATTTATTAATTTAGTAAAATAATAAATCAAGGGTTTAAATACATTTATAAACATATAATTATGTGGTGTATCGTGTGTCAACTGGCAGCTACAGCTCAATATTTATGTATCTATCTATATCTATAATCTATCTATCTTCTATACTGTAGTAAAATTATAACACGACGTCTGTCTGAACACGCATCACGCAATAACCTGTGAACCGATTTTAATAGGATTTCACTGGTAGATAGCTGATGTTATAAGGAGTAAGTTAGGTTACTTTTATTTTAGGAAAATAATTAGGGTTCTGCGTAAAAAATTCCACGCAGGCGAAGTCGCAGGGAACAGCAGACAGCTAGTTACTATAATAAAGATCTAACACGACGTCTGTCTGAACATGCTTCACAGAAAAACCTTTGAACAGATTTGGATAGGAGTTTCACTGGCAGATAGGTGATATTATGAGGAGTAACTTAGGCTACTTTATTTTAATCTACATTATATCCACGCGGGTGAAATCGCGGGGAATAGCTAGTTACTAAATAAATTAATAGCAATAGTGAATATGGACTTCCCTTATTGCATTTTAAATTACTTTTTTTTAATTTATGTAATTTTTATATATGAATGGTTGTAAAATCAGGATCTTCTTTATCTAATACCATTTAAGACTAGTTTCTTACGAATAGTGTATGCATGGCACCAGAAGTCATAAATAAATTGCCAAAAGAAATATAATGCATTGATAATTTTAAGAATTAGTTCCGATATTTCAATCCTCAGAATATATATACCAACGTTAACAAATTAAAAGTTACAGTTGTGTAATATAGTTACATAAGTTTACTGCTGAGCATAGGCCCAAGAAATGTCACAAAACATGGCCCTGCATTTGTGGACTTCCCCCATCTCGGGAGGGATCCTTCCCTTCTGGTACTAATCTGCCACTCTAGAACACTCTAGAGTGGCAGCCTCGTACCAGTAAGCGAAGTGTATTTTAGAGAGTAATCGGTGATGGAATGAATTAATCATGAATCACTAGATGGAATGACGACCTGGTTAGAGTTGTTTAAAATAGAGCAGTTGATAAAATAGTTGTTTTATCACTTTTATATTCAGACATGTTTTGAATAGATAACACTTATATGACGATTGAAAGATCAGCACTAAGTAAGAAAACATTACCTAAGGACATATTTTATTAAAATGATACTAAGCTATTGCAGATTTTTTCGAAGGCAAGTGCATAAAAATCTGTCTATAAATTTTAAATATCTATGTGTAAAATGTCGTATATATGTACTTTTTATGAAGTAGTTTTATTGAAGAAATTTGTATGTTCTTTGTTCTTCGTTATAGTATATATATATGTAGTAGAGTGGGCAAACGAGCATACTGCTCACCTGATGGTACTCGTAAGTGAGTATCGCCGCCCATGAAGAACTGCAACACCAAGGGAATTGCAGGTGCGTTGCCGGCCTTTTAAAATGGAGTAAGCTCTTTTCTTGAAGGTCCCTAAGTCGTATCGGTCCGGGAAAATCGCCGTTGTTAAGCTATTCCACAGAGTAGTCGTACGCGGAAGGAAACGCGGAAGAAAACGTACAGTGGTGGACCGCCGAGCAACCAGATGGTGTGGATGGTATCGGGAGTTTTGCTGCGATGTGATTTCGTGAAATTTGGCGGCTGAGATTAATCCGAACAATTCCTCCGAGTACTCCCCGTGGTAAATGCGAAATAAAATTGTAACATCTCTTCGCAGCGCCAGTAAATCAAGCCGATCGGAAAGGACTCGGTCGTCGACGATTCGAGCCGCTCTGCACTGGATGCGGTCAAGCGGAAGGAGCTGACACTGGGGAGCCCCAGCCCAGAGATGGGAACAGTTTTCCATGTGAGGCGAAACCTGCGCCTTGTAAAGTTGCAGGCAGTATGCCGGCATGAAATACTGTCCCGCTTTGCTGAGCACGCCAAGCTTGTAGAGGCCAATTTGGCCTTATCTTCCAAGTGACCACGAAACTGCACGTCACTCGATATGTCGACGCCAAGGATTCCGATACTGGCTGAGGCAACAAGGGGAGTGCCTTGAAACTGAGGAGATACGACATAGGGGTTCTTTTTAGCGGTAAACGCGCAATCTTGTGTCTTCTGAGGATTAAACTGGACTAGATTTAGTCTCCCTCAATTCGAGGGTTTGTTCAGCAAAGACTCGACTTCAGACATACGTTTATTCCGGTACTTGGCGACATTTTCCCGAGAAATATTGACACGGCCAGTATATAGAGCATCACCAGTGCTGTCATCCGCATAGCAATGAATGTTACCTGTTTGCAACATTTCTTTTTTGTGCAGAAGAAACAGCGTTTGGTGATAGCATGCATCCTTGTGGAACACCAGCGTTAATAAGCTTGTAATCGGAGCATGCACCGTCTACAACGACCTTGATTCTCCGATCTGCAAGAAAGCTGGTGTTCCAAATGCACAATTTCTCGGGAAACCCATAGGAAGGGAGCTTCAAAAGAAGCGCTTTGAGCCAAACCCGATCGAACGCCTTCGCAATGTCAAAACTAACGGCCAATGCCTTATACTCCACTGCCTCCGCCCATCTATGAGTCAGGTAGACCAGAAGATCACCAGCTGATCGACCCCGACGAAAACCATATTGGCGGTTACTAATCATCTGGTGATCCTCAAGGAACCGCATGAGCTGGCAGTTTATAATGGATTCCATTATTTTGGAGAACAAGAAGGTGATGGCGATAGGCCTGTAGTTAGACGAGTCTGAGTGGTCGCCTTTTTTTGGGATCGGGTGGACAAAAGCCGTCTTCCATGATTTCTGGACTACGCCTAGGTAGTAAGAGTACCGGAAAAGACGCGTTAGAAATGATGCCAACTCCGGAGCACACGTCTTTAGCACTATTGGGGGGATTTCGTCACGCCTACTTGACTTGTAAATGTCCAGGGAGAGAAGTGCTTTGGGAACTGAGTGCTGTGAAAACCGCACATCCGGCATGAAGCACTCACACCGCAGTATGGTCGGCGATATGTTCCCCCTATCACCGAGAGTCGAGTTGGACGCAGATCGGCTTTCTCCTTTGCGGCATGGGCCAGTGAGTCGTCTTCCCTGTGTAGAGATGGCAGAGATGGCTGACAGAAGTTACCCTGGACAGTCTTGGCGAGAGACCAGAACGCACGGGTTTCCGAAGGAAGGCGAACTAGTTTCTCGCCAATTCTGCCTATGTGCTCTGACTTAGCCTTGGCAATGACTCTTTGGAAGAATTATACTTGTTTTTAAGGGCGCTGGTGTTTACATCCCGGGACGTTGATGCGTCAGCCCAGGCCCGGTAGCACTCCTGCTTGTAGCGTGATGCTATTTTACAGGGGCGAAACCATGGCTGAGATCTGCCTCCGATGGGAACCACAGAGGAAGGAATAAAACGTTCCATACCCTGAAGTACCGCATCAGCAACAGAATTAGCAACAACGTTGAGATCGTCCGGCGAGAAGCAAATCCGCCCCCAAGGGTAGGTTGCAAAGAAAGACCGGATCCTATCCCAATCGACCGACCTATAATGCCAAACACGGCGGCAGCCTGCAGATTGCAACCGCGGCGTTAGTGTGAGTGGTACCACACTCCCGACAAGACTATGGTCCGACGAGATGGTAGTGGACGGCGTTTAGATTCGAGGGAAGTCCCCTGATGTTGCAGAAATTCACGGATAGCGTGGCAGGTCTCTCCTTGGTTGCTCAGTTTGCCCTGAGCAGTTATTGTTTTGAGCAGAATTTTCCACTTTATGTCGGTATTCTGTGAGGTCGTGGTACCAACCACCGTCAATTTTTATTTGAAAGGTAGCCTTTATTGTATATAAGACTTTATGACTATATAATATTATTTAAAATCACTCGCTTTTAGCCCATAAATAATATGATCATAACAAAAAACTTTAATAGATTATAATGAAACTGACTGAAATTATTGATTTACTTCCATGAATGCAATAATGGCTTGCAATATCCGTTCTAAGTAATATGGGTGGAAAATGTAATTAAATATCAGGAACTAAAAAATAGACTATATTAGTATTAAAATGTTGTTAGTTTGCTACACTTTTTATGTTCATCACATATATAAGGTCTTTATGAAACGTTTTTGTAAATTAAGGAAAAAAGAAAAAACATAATTTTTTTACATAGAACAGTATTTACGAACGACCTTCGAAATTCGTAAAAGTATCGTTCCATGTTCATTATTGGCTTCATTAAAGTTGTGGGTCATTTGCGGTGATTTAAGAACTCATTCCATCAAGTATAATCTATGCAAGATGGCATTTAATATTGCTTAAATTCGGTAAATGAATTCACGGTGCATTTTATGTTTTGATCTCATTTTTAAAATTTTGACCTTAACAACGAGCTCCGTAAACTACAGCCTGAAGTCGATGACGAGTTGAAAGCTTTACTGGAAGTGCCTTCGTCTCAAGCAGGGTCAGACTTAACAGTTGTTCTCGACATACTTGACATAACAGTATTGATCTATGTATGATAAATTGAGCAAAGAAAAGAGATCGGAAAGAGCCAGGAAAAGGGAGTTGTCCGCTTACCGGGCTTAACACCTTGTAAGACTGGAGATCTCGCCTTTTCCTTCGACGGCCAAATTCTTTTTTTTATAATTCTCAATATAAAATATTCCGACAGATAATGGCAATTAACAGATACACAAAGAATAAACTCTTTATCAATGATATCATTTCAAAACCTATACATTTAAATATTGTTATCACGCAAAACATGCCTGCGGAGATTTGCTTTTGATTTTGAACAAATCACATATTATGAGGCAGTTTTCTCATGCATGCTTATAAGCACTGTGACTTGATCGCAGTCTGTCAGTCATCAGTCAAGAACTTTATGACTTATATAACCAAAGGAGAAGAAAAGTTCTCGAGTTTTGCACTCTCTAGATGAGATGACGACCTGAGCAAGCAGAGAGTCAATGGATGCAGCTGGCTCAGGACTGCTTTATGGCAAATCGGTTTAGTTACGTTATATATTGTTTAGTATTAGATTTACTATATTTTAACTTACTTTCCGTTTTCAGGGAAATACACCATATTAAGAATAATCCTATTAATGAGCGGGAGCACACTATGGATGCAGCAATGGTGCGTCGACATAAGCACGTGTTCTTTGCTGATCGCCTTCAAGAATGCGTACAGGAACATGTTAGTTATCAGAGAGGGAGGGATCACTCTGAAGCGTTAATGGCACCAAGACTCTTTATTATTTATGACAATGTGGAGGCCAGCGAGCCTGGAGACACGTCCGATTACTGTGCAGTTCTTGACGCACCATTCTATAAGTTACGTATAGAAGATTGTAAGGAACCAGGTAACAAAACATTACCTATGATTTTTGAAGTTTATCCCTTAAGAATAGATTTTCATATATAAGACCGGGGTATAAAAATTTATGAGGAGTAAAATCAAACGTTATGTCATGCGTTACGTTATGTATTCATTTTTCCATTACTACGTAATGTCCTCAACTTATTTTGCGTAGCCCCCAGCACAGAGTAGATACTCTCGGCTGTACAAAACAAATAACAATTGCCAACTAACTGTCAACTTGCGGAGTTTTGATATTAAATTTCATATACCTATAATCCTTTGTAAAAAGTTTTATACACGGTCCATCTCGACGTACAACCTGCCAAGGTCATGCACGACGCACGATGCAAAACGACAATGAATAGGCTTGACATACGTAAAGTCGTGTGTCGGAGCTGACACACACACTTTTTTATTTTTACTTTTTATTGACACAAAAATTTATATGTTCTTTTTAGGATTTGTAAAGCTGAAGAAATTAGAGGTTTTAGAAAGCAGTCTTTCGAAAGAAAATGAAACCATAAACCAAGAACAAAATCATTCCGACGATAGCATTTACACCGACTCAGAAAAAGAATCAAATGCTTCAGATGACTCACCTTATGTTAGTAAAGGAGAATTACTATTACAAAACATTAAATCGAAAATTAGTGAGGTTCAAGAAACAAATATGCATATAAAAGATGAAAAAATTAACACACATTTTTATTCACAAGAACAAACAGGGAGGAGGCCTAGTGGGCCAATGAAACAAGTAAGTCTACAAGTTGAAAAAAGTAATATATCTAACTTGGAAGCACTTAGGAAAGTGATTTCCAGATTACCAGAGGATTCAGTCTATGTAGATGATCAAAATGACACTGAAGATATTGCCAGTAAACCACGAAAATCAATCTTAAAAAATGTTAGAAGAGCAAGTGAAACAAATAAAGATCTCAAAAATAAGGCTCGTTTTGGTGATAACCACGCTGTTTCCATAGATAATATAGGGGCTGATGACACTGAAACTTCGGGATACAGATCTAATTCAAGTAGTCGTCACAATGAATCAAGTGAAACAGACTCCGACTATGGTTACTCGACGATTACGGAATCTACAACACCCAAAAGAGTAGAACTTAGCTTGCAACCAAATTGCTCTATTTCTACTGGCGTGTTGCCAGAAGAATGCTGGATTGCTGTAGATGTACGCACTATAGACTGGAGTGACGAAGAAGATGAAACTGCTACAAAGTCATCAAGACTGTCTATGTGCAGAAATTTATTTGAAACTCATCATTATTTAAGCTCGTTGAGCTTTATGGGTAATTTCGTAGATAACTTTATTATAAGTCTAGGCTCAGGGTTAGGATTTTCACAGGAGGCAATTAATAGCGCTTTAACGCAAGGAGCAAGTATTTATTGTGATACTATTAAACATGGATCAAAAGTTAGTTATGAGGTATTTCCAGCTCTACTCGCGGCATGGCCTAATGCAGCTAATCAGTGGATCATACGTGAACGCAAGATAATACAAAATCCTAGAACGAACTTTAGTTATCAATGGCCAACTAGGTATATGGTTCGAAAAGCAATCGGATTCGGTTGTCTTTTAGTACCAATTGGGTTTAGACCTAAAAGAGGTGTCAATCCAGATCTAAAGTTACAATGGAAGATTATATTCCCGGCGGCGGAACGTTACTTAGAAAGTTGTTTAGCTCATTCTCACATGCGATGTTACTTATTTGCCCTGACTTTACATAAAACTTTTATGGAAAATGAAACTTCTAAAATAGGAATAGATGCAAGTCACATTAAAAACCACTTGTTTTGGCAATGTGAAGACAATTATGCTAAATGGCCTGAAGATCGACTGGGTGAATCTCTGAGATTATTTTTACGCAGTTTTTATGTCCATTTTGGACAATCAAGATTTCCAAATTATTTTATTGAGAGTTGTAATGACTTTAAAAGTATTCCTAAGCCGTTACTACTAAAATTACAAAGAAAATTAGCAGACATATTGGAATCTCCTGTAATGCATGTACTTAATGCCCTTGATAAACTTAAATATAATAAAAAAGAATTTTATCCAACATTCAATGTGCATAGACTTTACGAAATATTGACCTGCAAGAACCCTTTGCATATTTTGAACCCACATATACCAGAAAGTATTCCCCATTACAATGACAGCTCTGAGAGTGACGATGATTATATAAATTTTTGGGATAAAGCTAAAGCTCAAGATAAACACTACCAGTGGAAGAAAGAAAGGCAACGCCAACTTAAGGAAAGGCGCAAGGTAAATGTGAATAACAAAAAAAGAGGCGGAAACAAAGAAGAGCGGGAAATAAACAGAAATGTAAGTAGCACATACATATCAATTATTTAGCAATTTACATTACTTATTTGACTACACTTATGGATTTTATTGTTTTTTAAATTTATTTTAAATTCCCTACTTTTTAAGTGCTTTGCAGTACCCACGGTATTGATGTCAAAGTTACTATTTAGAAAAAAAACTAAAATTATCAAGTAAAATCCGTAAAACTTGTTTTATTCAATTTGTAGTTTTTGCATAATCAGAAAAACCACATATTAATAAATTGTTCTAGATTTCTGTATCATAAATTATTTTCGATTGATTTATTATATATATGCTAAGAAGGTACATAATATTATAATACAAAGGCGATAATATTGTGTGGTAAGTCACTCATTTTTGCAGTAATATTTTTTCTACAAACTTTTTATTTGTAGAAGAAATAATTGTGGAAATATCATTTTAAATTTAGAAGAGTTATTTTGTTTAATTGAAAATGATAATATATTCATTGAAGTTGAATTATATTATTTAACTTTCAAATACATTTATCCGTACGATACGCGCACCACTTACTGTAAGTTAATTGTACTATGCCTATAACATTCACGGAAGTATAAGCAATATGTTGACAGAGTTTTACTGCAATCTGATGAATCGCATGGCAGCGCATAAAATACGAACAAACAAATATTATTTTTTATATATATACACACAAATACTATTTTTTGCGTGGTAGAGCCATGCTGCTACTATATTAGTAGTATAGTTGTAACACGAATGGGTCGGTTCGACCGGGGAAGGACCACGCTCTCACAGAATACCAGCATAAAATAGCAGCTTAACGCTGCTGTGTTTCGTATGGTGAGTGTAGAGAACCGGAGACCCTTTTTACTGGAAATGAGGCAATCTATCTTAGTCCTCACGGGTGAGAACGCATCTGCATTTTGTTTGATGTAGATGTCTATGGGCCGCAGCAACCACTTACCATCAGGTGGACTGTGTGCTCGTTTGTCACCCTTATCATATAAAAAAATTATATATTATTTAAAATAAATTATGAGTAAATAAAAACTAAAATTTATTCTATGATTTCAATTAAAGATTATTGTAATTTGTTTCAGATAATACTACCGGCTAAAATGCAGCCAGAACGTAGACGTTTAGTTCTAGAGTTTTTTATCCCTCATTTCATTGCAATGGCACGATCCAGCGAGAAATTTGAAGCAATTAAACAAGCCGTCATTTATTTAGAACAAGTTTATAGACTTTGCCGACTTTTACTTGAAGAACCTGCTGGAGATATGACAGCTAATGAATATTTGGATGTTATACGCGATAAACTAACGGATTGTCAACGAAAACTAGCAAAACAGGTTGGTTGCAAGTTGCCACCACGTATGGAGAGCTACTCCGAACGCTCCGTTCATTCTAACATGATTCGGAAACATCGACCTAAATATGAACATATCATCAATCAAGATTCGCCATGTGACGGTTCTGGTATCCCCCCTTTCACATTTGTTGATGTTCACAGTGACAGAACAAATAAAAGTAAAGAAGTCAGGAAATTAACGGTTGCCATGGATCCAGAAGAATCTAAATTGTGAAGTACTTTAAGTATGCATTAGTGAAGAGAAAGTATATAAAAATTACTCAAAATCGCTCTAAAGTTGAGGTTTGATTTTTTAAGAATCTCTTTTTATTTGATAAGGTTATTTATTTGATAACCATATAGGTGTTTATAATACGACTTATAAAATAATCAATAAAAGTAAAGAATATTTTGGACGTACTTTATTTGTGATTTCTTTTTCTTGATATAGATATAAATTATTTTAAAAAGTCCACCATATATTTCAAGAAAAATTCATAAATTTAATCAATCAATAAAAAGATACGTCTAACTTTCATCCCGCTCAGTAGAAATATTTCACGCGTGTAGGTTTACTAGTTCTTAAATGTTTTAAAAGACTACACAAGGGGATTTGCTCCACCAACCATTGCGAGTAATGCCATTCGCACATACATTCCGTATTCTGCTTGTCGGAAGTAGGCAGCGCGCGGGTCTGAGTCAAATTCTGGTGAGATTTCGTCGACCCTGGGTAATGGGTGCATCACAACCATGCGACGTCGAGCACGCGTCATTAGCTGTGGTGTCACTACTAACAATCCGCGCATCTGTGGACAAAAAATTATAAAAATATTTAATATTGATTTCTAAGTTTCTATAACATTTTGATTGTATACATTTTATTACTAAAAAAAAAACAAGTATTAATGTCCAAGATAGGTTTTATCGACTTATATGGAAATTGATGTATTAACGGTATTGTCGTCGGTAAACTTCGTTTTTACGAGTATTACCTGTAATGATATTATAATTCGTGAATAGTGTATGTACAGCGTTGTTTTTTAGTTAAAGGTAAATGTGTACATTATTTCATATTAATCTTTGAGCATTAACCAAAGTGAAATAAATTACTTATTGAAAAACGAGTTTAAATCCTCACCTTTTCATATTCCTCTGTGCTTTCAAACCTTTCCCGCTGTATTCTCGTCATGTATAAAACATGAGTATCACCCAAGACATCTTCTAACCTTTCAAAAACTTTCTGTGGTATTCCTTTATATGCTACATATTCCATAATATGTTTAGGCATTCCCAGTCCTGGCGGACTAACATATTGCAACTGAACGTGATACAACGTCAATAGTTTAGCCAAAGAATGAACAGTCCGCCCATTTTTTAGATCTCCTACCATTGTTATAGTAAGACCATTAACTGTACCAATTTCTTCTCTAATTGTGAAAACGTCTAGTAACGCTTGAGTGGGGTGTTCTCCTACGCCATCTCCAGCGTTGATAATTGGCTTGCGACAATGGCGTGATGCGCGCTATAATCAAGGATGAAAATATAAATAAACATTCGAGTTTAATTGTTTTGCTCAAAATTATTGAATTTACTTGCTTTTACCCGCGACTTCGTTTTTGTAAAACTTAAACAACAAAACTTGCAGATCTATAATTGAGGTCGTAAGACATGTAGTTCAATTATCGAGAAGCCACTTTCAACACTATTTTCTTTTTGTTATTATCTCGAATACTGTCTGCGATATGATATACATACAATATACGATCTTTAAAGATTAATTTAACGTAAGAAAGGTTTTATCATGTTATCCTTTAACATTCATAGTTTTGTTGAAAAAAGGTACTGAAGTAAAAAAAAAATCGATTATGTATCAATACTTTAAGGGATAGAAGTGGAAGGACCTTTTTTGAGTAGGTGAAATTTCAAACCAAAAAAGTTGTTCAAAACTGTTTTCCTATCTCTTATCTGTATATGTGATCATCAAAAACATTTATTTTATAGTTTTTCTATTTTACGAAAAATCCTGAACGATTTACAGATAAAATATAGCCTACACCACTCCTGTCTCTCTCCCTCTTACACCTCACTAACAGATAAAGTTTCATCACAATTATATCTGTTCAGCCATTTCAAAGATTAACCCGATCAGACAGAAATACAAATAAGAAAAAAATGGTTATTAATGTTTTAATAACATGCAAAGAATCCCCTAAGCGTGATAGCGTAAGAGCCGTGGTAGCTTAGCGGCTAAGCGCCCGCTGTAAATTTCACAGTACGCAAGCAACCAAGGTTTGATCCGCCGCACCGGTACCTTTAAGTGCTGATTTACCATGTACTCGGCGGTGAAGGAAAACATCGTGAGGAAACCTGCATATCTCAGAAATAAGAAAAAATATTTCAAAGGCTTGAAGTTCGCAACCCGCATTGGAGCAGCGCGGCGGACACTTCCTTGACCTAAACCCCTCTCAGAAATGAGAGGAGGCCTGTGCTCAGTAGTGGGACGTATATAGGCTCTTACTTTAACTTTTAACCTCCTAAGGTTAATAGAGTTCAGTTATTTTGATACTACAGACATACACTTCAATTTAATTTATATCTATAGATAAACTTACCGCGACTGCACCCGGTTCTGGATGTCTCAATACTACTATGTCAGAATAACTGGCCATAACAGCTACACTGTCTTCTAATGTCTCTCCTTTTTTGGCTGATGAGCTCGTAGCGTCCGTGTGTATAACAGAACCTCCTAATCTCTGCATGGCGGCTGCAAAGCTGCAACTAGTTCGGGTACTTACTTCATAAAATATTGATGACATAACTTTTCCTCGCAATATATCATCTAAATAGCGTCCTTTACTTACGCTAGTTTTCATGAATTGAGCAAGATTAAAAATATCGTTTAGGGTTTCTTTACTAAACGAGTCTACTGTTAATATACTTTTACCAAATAAGTCACTGCGTTGACGCTGAGATAGCGAAGTATGTGGAGGATTATTATAAGAGGCACTATCACATCTTGGTCTCATAGTTGTTTGTGGAGGAAGTGGTGACACGCTTCTTAAGCCCGTAACTTCATTAAAGTGGACATTTAATTTACTTTGTCCATCAGGCCTATTTGATTCAATTTGATCTAAGTCAAAGTCACTTAATCGACTAAATTCTATTGAGGCATGTTGATCAAGAGCAGAGTTTGGTCGACTTACTTCTTTTTCAACTTTTTCGATAGCATATGCTGGGAATGATTGTTTTTTAGGAGAAGGCCATTCACGTACATTTTGTCCGAATCCTGGTGGCACAAGGATTTGTCCCTCAACATAGGCGATTTCTCCACGAAGTGTAACTCGATGAATTGCTCCACAAACATTCATTCCAGCAAAAGGAGTCCACTTAGACTTTGAAAATTCCATAGCACTTGGAATAGTCCACTCGTAGTCCATATCTACTTCAACATAAGTATTTGGTTGTTCGGGTAAATTGAATATTTTCCGTGGATTTCTATGAAATTTGTTGATAATATCTTCAATTGTAAGACGCCCTTGATGTACAGCGTTAAGAAGTAGTGGTAAAATTGTCTCTAAGCCTGGAAATCCTGGGGGAGGTTTCTCAGAATTTTTCTCTTCAACTGTATGAGGGGCATGATCTGTGGAAAATACGTCAATAATATCCATGTTTTTCCATAGTTCTGATTGGTCTTCAGGACTACACAGAACAGGCCGAACTTCAGATCGACCTACACCAATACGTTCGATATCGTTAGTGCTTAAAAACAAGTGATGTGGACATACCTCGCAAGTTACTTTCAGGCCTCTCTCTTTGGCTGCTCTAATTATTAAAATTTCTTCTTTTCTAGCGACATGACATATATGGACTGGTCGCTCGAGTAGCGATGCCATCAAAATAACGGCCCCTGTTTTTTCTCGTTCAGCATGGACACAAATTGGTATTTTTTTAGGCCAGTTCTGCAGATGTCGATGCCAGACAGACATATCGTCAAGTTTCAGAGTTGTAAAGGTTTCATTTAGATACATTTTTAAAGAAGCAGCTTGTGGTGCAAGTTCAAAAACTGTGTCACAATTTGCTGAAGACGCACCTACAAATAGTGCGTAATCACAACGAGCGCTAACTCGTGCTAAAGCGGATACGTAGTCATATGCTGCACGATCTACTAAAGGTGGGTTAGTATTTGGCATTGCGCAGATCATAGTAACACCACCCGCGAGAGCAGCAGCAGTACAAGATGCAAAATCTTCTTTGTATGTTGCTCCAGGTTCACGAACATGGACGTGGATGTCAATGAACCCGGGCAATTTAATTATATTACGTGAAGTCATACAATCTGTATGTGTTTTCATCATCGGGGCACCACCACATTGTAGCATGGCCTGTAATATACAGTCATCGTCATTATCATTATGTTATTAATGAAAGATATCAAAGAAGAATATTCTATTAAGTACTAGCTGGTACAGGGCGCGTTGCTGCCGCAGAAGAGATAAAAAGAAGAGTTATATTATTTAATTCAGAATGATAATACATTTATTAAATATGAATGATACTTTTAAATATTTTTTTCGGTGCGGTACCCGCGCCACCTACAGTAAGTTAACTGTACTATGCCTATAACCTTCGCGCAAGTACAAGCAATAAGCCGACAAAGTTTTGCCGCAATTTGATGAACTGTATGGCAGCGCATAAAATACGAACAAAAAAAAACGTTAATTTTTATATACTTTATGACTTTCTCACATTTGACAAAAAAAACACCTTTTTTTGTTCCTTTAGCGCTTTATAAAGCGGCCATGAAGACTATATTGAATGATATTGTTTCATGTCATTATATATATTTTTAGCATTCAGCCATTTATTATTTCACACGTCGATTTTTTAAGCATATTTATTCTAGTGTTAATTGCAAGGAATAAATTAAGACAAAAATTTCAAGTATTTAAAGACTTGTTGGAAGGTAGGTAGGATAATATACATTATTTCTGTTCAAAATCGATATGTAAAACTTAATGTAGCGAGAAATAAATTATTACTTAAATACGCTGTTAGGTTGCAAAGCGTAAATGAAAAACCTTAAATTTGGCTTTATGTACCTGAACCAGAAGTTTTGCGCATTTGACATCTGTGACTAAAGGCACTGCATAATCAACGGCCAAACGCCGAGTACGATATCCATGCGTACTAAAGGATGATACACGACGTGCGCCTCCTCTCATTGGTAGATTTATAACAAGATCCAACTGACGTCTCGCCATAAAATCAGCAAGATGCATTAATTCGCCATCAGATCTTGCGTCCTCCGGGTCACCAATGTGATCGAATGTCCACTGTACACTTTCAACCTAAAATATGGAATTTATTTCGTTTGATTAAACAAATTATAGCAACATTATGTACTTATTTATTTCTTTATTAATGACTGATTTACCTCAACACCATGCTCAGTGTAGAAATCTCCTGTTCCCATGCTAGCATACAATTTATAACCCATCTTATGTAAAATGCGAACGCTCGGTAATAATTCCATCTTGTGCTAAAACACAATATTGATTATACTCGTATTAGTATACGCAGTACATGATTATACCAAATAGAAAAACACAAAAACAAACAAATAGAAAAAACATTTTCAAATAATCAATGATTACAAAAAGTTAGTGATGTAATATTTAATGTTAAGTTTGATAAATGTACGCAATGACACGAATAATAGTTGACGCACTTTACTAAAATATGAATATGTTAACCTAAAAATTACGAAGACATGTAAAATTATTACCTTAAATGTGCCAACAGATAACAATATTGCTTTTTTTGGTATTCTAAATCCAGTGCTCATCAGTGATTTTAAGTATGCTTCATAACGGTTCTCACCAAAACATGCTACTTCACCTGTTGATGCCATTTCTACGCCTAAGGTTACATCTGCTCCAGATAACCTTGAAAAGGAAAACTGTGGCACTTTTACACCCACCTTGCCACATCCGGCCATCACGTTTACGGGCTCTACCGGAATACCTAGAATTACTTTGGTTGCTACCGCAACGAAGTCATGGTCTAAAGTTTTTGAAACAAATGGAAAGGACCTAGATACTCTCACATTACATTCAATTACTTTTAAATCGTTATCTTTTGCTATAAGTTGCATATTGAACGGTCCGGTGACATCTAACGTTTCTGATATGATTCTTGCAATTTCCTTTATTTTATCTAATGTTTCATTATTAATATCTTGTGGTGGTGTTACTAAAGTAGCATCACCAGAATGAACACCAGCATTCTCAACGTGTTCAGATACGGCCATGCAAAGAATTACTCCGTCTGCAGCCACTACATCAACGTCAATTTCTTTAGCATCCATAATAAATTTTGAAATAACTACTGGATGATCTTTACTAACTTTACTTGCCGATTTTAAATATACTTCCAAATCTTGATTTGAATGCGCTACATTCATAGCAGCACCGCTTAAAACGTATGAAGGTCTCACTAAACATGGAAATCCTACTTCTTCACAAAAGGATTTGGCCGATTCAAGATCTGTTAGTTCTTTCCATCTTGGTTGCATTATGCCTTTCCGATCTAGAATACGGGAAAATTTAAACCTATTTTCCGCATTATCTATCATATCAGGCGAAGTTCCCAAAATAACTGCTTGTTGTCTGTGCAAATCCATTGCTATGTTATTCGGTAACTGTCCTCCCATACATAATATAACTCCATCAGGTTTTTCAATGTTATAAATATCCATGACAACTTCAAACGAGATTTCTTCAAAATATAATCGATCACTCATATCATAATCAGTACTGACAGTTTCAGGATTGTAGTTGATCATTATAGTCTTTTTACCCTGATTTTTCAGCTCTCTCAAACATCCTACAGCACACCAGTCAAACTCAACTGAACTTCCAATTCTGTAAACACCTGACCCAAGTACCATTACATGCCCTCCAGGAAAATCCAAATCATGTGTACTGCCGTTGTACGTCAGATAAAGATAATTAGTGGATGCCGGCCATTCGGCTGCCACTGTATCAATTTGTTTTACGAAAGGAATAATTTTATATTCTTCCCTTAGTTTCCGAACTGCTAATTCAGTACTTTTAACTGCGGCTGCAATTTGTTTGTCTGAAAATCCAATTTGCTTAGCTTTCTTTAAAATATCAAACGTAATCGAAGCAGGAGAAGTGGCTTCAAGGCTTTTATAATAATCAATGATATTTTTAAATTTCTCTAAAAACCATCGGTCAATATTAGTAAGATCATACAGTTTGTCTATTGTATAACCCTCCTTAAGAGCAGCAGCTAGTACAAACATCCTTTTATCAGTTGGTTCTCTTAACTCGTTTTCGTTTACTCTCTCTATATTTGGATCAAAACCATTCACATTTTCATCGACCATGCGTAGTGCTTTTTGGAAAGCTTCTTCGAAATTTCTGCCAATCGACATAACCTCTCCCACACTTTTCATGGAACTTCCAATTTTAGTGCTTACTCTATTAAACTTAGCTAAATCCCATCTGGGTATCTTCACAACGCAGTAATCTAAGCTTGGTTCAAAGCAGGCTGTGGTTACTCCAGTAACAGAGTTTTTTATTACAGGTAGTGGGATACCAAGCGCAAGCTTAGCTGCAACATATGCTAAAGGATATCCTGTTGCCTTACTTGCTAATGCAGAACTTCTTGATAATCTGGCATTTACTTCTATAATATAAAATTCTTCTGAATTGGGATTAAGAGCGTATTGTATATTACATTCTCCCACAATACCAAAATGTCTTATTACTTTTATGGCTGTATTACGTAACATGTAATACTCTCGGTTAGATAATGTTTGGCTTGGAGCTACTACAATTGACTCACCAGTATGAATACCAAGAGGATCTACATTTTCCATATTGCACACAGTAATACAATTATCATAAGCATCTCTAACGACCTCATATTCTACTTCTTTCCATCCTTTTAATGATTTATCAATAATTAATTGTTCAGAATGTGAAAGCGCGTGATGAGCTAGTGTTTTTAATTCATCCGCATTATTTGCGAACCCTGAACCTAATCCACCGAGAGAAAAAGCCGAACGAGCCATCACAGGATACCCAATCTGATGAGCTGCTGCAAGGGCTTCATCAACTGAAGATACTGCAGCGCTTGGTGCAACCTTTTCTCCAATTAGATTAATTTTTTCTGCAAAAATTTTTCTATCTTCGGTATCTACAATTGACTGAATTGGGGTTCCAAGAACAGTGACATTATATTTTTCAAAGACTTTTGATTTTTGTAATTCCACTCCGCAATTTAACGCCGTTTGTCCTCCAAAGGTTAGTAAAACTCCAGTTGGTCGTTCAGCTTTTATCACTTGCTCGACATATTCAGGAGTGATAGGTAGGAAGTAAACTTTATCAGCCAAGCCTTTAGATGTTTGAACTGTTGCTATGTTTGGATTTATTAATACTGTTTGAATTTTTTCTTCCTGCATAGCTTTTACACCTTGGGATCCTGAGTAATCAAATTCACCTGCTTGACCGATAGATAAGCCTCCTGAACCTAAAATTAAAACTTTTTTCGGTCTATCTGGAATAGTTGGTGTGTAATTAAATTTCTCTGTGATCATTTCATCGAGACAGCAAACCGTGTTGTTTTTATATAGCTTCACCCCTTCTATAAAAATATCAAAAAGACATTCAAGGTCTGTTGGTCCAGCCGTGTGTTCGGGATGAAATTGAACACTGAAAAATGGTGCTGATTTGTGTATTATACCCTCATTAGTTTTGTCGTTTTCATTAGTGAATAATACTTTCCAATTTTCTGAGAGTGTATTTGCATCAACGGCAAATCCGTGATTTTGCGAAGTCATAAAACACCTTTTTGTTGTGCTGTGAGTGCATGGTAAGTTGTGACCACGATTACCGTACCTAAAATGTAGAAAATTACGTACTTAGTTAAAAAACAAATTTTATTAAGCAAACCTAGGGGGAAATAAGATATGTATTACAATGGTATAACATAATTTATCGTGATTATATTTGTAATATATAGTTGTCTGATATTTATTTATATCAGAACAGGTTCTAAATCGTAGTGAATATATTTATTTTTATTACAACGTCAATTGTGTCATATCTGAATAGAAAATTATATTATATTAAATTTCGTGTATTTTATATAATACGTGAGGAAACTTAAGTGCAAAAATTTGGTCGTTAGGTACTTTTTTCTCGAGTGGTTTATACAGCGCCTCAGTGCGCATGAAAGCATATTTATTAGGCCTTAACTTAGCCCCCATACGTTCCACATTGCCGCAACCGCCTGGCACAGACTCATTGAGTTAGAGCCCGTGAACTCTAACACGTGGTGCGAACAAACAAGTCTTGGTGTCAGTTCTAGTACATATTACTGCAATGACTAAAAGACAGCAAATGTCAAATTTCGCGAAGATTTCTTTAAGTATAAGAACTGTTCTAAATCTATAGTTTAAACCCGAGACTATCAATAATAATAAGTCGGATTAAGTAAGAAGAATGAATAAATACCTCGTTTTATATGTTTTACACCCAGCAGCAGTTGCAAGTAATTGATGGCCGAGACAAATACCGAATACTGGTTTCACTATATCTTGATTTTCAATAACTCTTTTCAAATTTTCTACAACTACTTTACAGACTTCTGGATCACCTGGGCCGTTACTTATAAACAATCCGTCAAAATCATTTGGATCTAAATTATAGTTCCAAGGTACCAAAATCACTTTGGCGTTTCTTCTTATTAAACATCGTATTTGGTTATATTTTAAGCCACAATCGACCGCCATTATTGTGATTTCCCCATTCGGATTAAATATTTTTGGTTCCTAAAACGTAAATTAAGGTACACTACAATGCTCATTATTTATGAATCTTATTATTGGGTCCGGTAGCACAATTCGATTACCTTTGTAGAGACCTCTGCAACTAAGTTCCTTTCATTAGGGTCTGATAAAGGAGGTAGGGGTGGAAATGGTGGTACTCCTTGGACAATGCGACCTAACATAATGCCCTCTCGGAGGCGATGAGTAAGAGCACGCGTATCCACGCCGCAAAGTCCAGGTATACCATGTGCTTTCAACCATGCACCCAAGGAGCGGTGTGCTCGCCAGTGGCAAGCGTGTGTGCTCACTTCACCTACTATTAATCCGGCTGCCCAAATTCGCTCGGACTCGAACCATCTTAAAAATAATTTATACTGATTTAATCAATATTCTTCTTAAACGTGGTGAAGGAAATTATTGGGAAACGAATTGCTCCATAACTTGGCATACCAGGCCTGTGCCCAGCAAAGGCTATAACTTCAATCAATATTGTTGAATGCCTCTTTACCTGTAAAAAGGGTCCTCGATTTCTTACATTCACACTATTGTTATTGTATTGTTAATTTACGCTGATATTCTGCAAGAGCTATAATATGCCGCATCATGTCTCTACCATGCGTTATTGTTTCCCAGTATTCAGAACATTTTACTTTGACAAATAGCTTCAATCCTCAATTATATACCAAAAATAAATTACAGGTCCATTTCATTACAGTTAGAATTAGGCGAGTGGTAGCGACATGCGAAAATCCATTACACTCATCTCATTTCATTAGTAAATTGGAGCAATAAACTTAAATACGAGTAACGTTAATATCTATTAAAATGTTCATTCAAATTACCTGGGTATGCCATGCTCATCACGTTCCCTCTCATCTGGCACGCCATAATTGCCGATCAATGGATAAGTGAGTACTAATAATTGTGCGTGATAGGAGGGATCAGTTAGTGACTCAGGATATCCAACCATACCAGTCTGGAATACTGTAATTAGATGATAGACACATAATGATGTTAGACCTTAATAAATACCATCGATGTGATTGTGTAAGGACATGTTGCTGAGTTTTTAAAAACAAAATATCTAGTCACATTAGTTATATTTTAACGCATTATATGTATGTAGTGTGTATCTGTGTATCTGTTTGTGGCATCATAGCTCTTGAACGAATAAACCTATTTTGATTGGGTTTCTTTCGTTTGAAAGGTGTCTTAATCGAAAATTTTTTAGCTATGTTTCAAGGAAATCTGTTCAGCTGTTTGAAGATATAATAAATAAGCTGTTTTTGTTTTGGGGGTTTTTAAAAATTTTAATTTTATTTATTGTTCAAGTACATTAAAAATTAAGGTTACACAAGCCTACGTTTTTAGAGAGTTGTGGCATAATTAAACCTTCGAGCTTCCCGAGTGCGTGTTGACGGACTTTACATGTCCCTGAACATAATGACCGTGTCATGTGCTAGCGGCGTAAGAAAATCCATTATCCAACTGCATTTTGACCGGGCAAATAAAGGACTTCACATTTGATTTTTAAAAACTTTAATTTACTGGCCCGCAGACATAACTATCAATATTTCTCATTCAAACTATTTAAATTAGTTTTCAATCAATTGTTTATATTAACTGTAAGAACAAATAATATGCTTTTTTTATAGATAACAAAACATGAATTTAGCATTGTGCTTTAATCATAAACACTGGGGTTTAAATGCAATATTTACTCCTGATATACATAGCCAATTTTCGTAATAAAATAACACACTTTATTGTAAAATCACCAAGTTAGACTTTCGAATCCTGTATAACTTTTTTTTAAAGAAACTTATGAATGCACTAATTACTAACTCTAATATCGACGATATACTCGTAGTTCCTCAAAAACACATCGATTTCTCATTTACAGTTTCAGATTTCATCATACTGACCCATCTTAATAGACCATATTATACTCTTACACCCAAGACTGATAGTACCTACTAATAATGTTGTTAAAATGGTGTAATAACCTTCATGATAACATTATTTAATAATGTTGTCATGAAGATTATTGTTGGCTATATTATCTATTCCCTAAACGTAGAAAGTCATAATAACATTTAGAAAGTCTCGCAGCCTTTATCTTAAAATATTTTTTTTTATTGGTGACTTTCATAACGGTAAATTAATAGTGATAATAATACACATCAACAGAATCTAGGGATAACTTAATCCTAAATTATTTACGATTTTATAGTTTAAAACCTTTTTAGTTGCCATAAAATGTTTATATACATATTGAAACCTCTTTTGTTCTATTTTCAAAATTTAAAAATGTAAATAAAAAAATACGGCGGCAAAATTGTTAGTAATTCGTTACGTCAAGGAAAATTAAAATAGTTCTTCTGATATTAATTAATGAAAAGGGATTATATTGTTTTTCTTTTTTAATTTAACGTACCGTGTAAGCTTTAAGAGTCATGTCACGTCGTCATTTGAGTCGAAATGAAATGTTACGAGCCGTGGGCATGTTAGAAAATGGTGCTATTCAACGCGTCGTTGCTGAGGTCCTACACTCCAGTCAAAACGCGATATCAAGGTTGTGGTCACGTTATCGCAGTTCTGGGGATGTGGTTAAACGGCACACGGGCAGATATCGTGTTACTACGCAGAGACAGCATCGATTTCTCCAAATGGCTGTCAGAAGACAACCCAATATCACAGCGATGCAACTGCTACAAAGGCTTCAGGAGGATTATCAGCTGCTGGTAAGCGACCAAACCGCGCGAAGGAGGTTGCATAAAGTTGGTCTTCATGCTCGAAGACCGCTACGTGTCCAGCATTGCAACGTGGCAATCGCGGTCGGCGGCGTTCGTGGGCTCGGGAGCTTTTACCATGGAGTGACGATTCACGAAGAACACTCGCTTGGAGAACTCCAGGGAGAGTTAGCCGTCTACGGCACCCTCACGAGGTCCACTCATACCAAGGCGGGACAATCATGGTGTGGGCAGGAATTTGTCTTGGCGGACGAACCTAGCTCGTTTGGATCCAAGGCAGCAAGCAAAACTGCACAAAAATACCGCAAGGAGGTAGTAGAGCTTGTTATTGTCCCACACAGAATCCAAATGGGCCAAGAATTTCTACTCATGCAAGATAATGCTCCTTTTCATACGGCGCGGCTGGCGTCGGCTGCTCTCCGAGACCACGATATTTAAGTTTTGGATTGGCCTGTACAGTGGAATATGTAACAACAAAGAGTTGTGAGAGATTTCCCGCTAGAACAACAACTTTACGAACTTGCAAAGAACATGGGACCTCATACCGCAGCAAGACATTCACAATTTAATTTTAAGTGTGAACAATCGATGTCGATGTGTATTTAATGTAAGAGGTTACAACACTGATTATTAATAATTAGATATTATAAAAAAAATTAAATTTAAATTAATAATTTTATAAGGAGAAATCATGTTTATGATAAAATAAGTATTAGATTAAAAAAATAACATTTTTATTTAAAATAAAAAAGTACGAAATATTTTTCTATACATTCTGTTGACGTGTTTAACTAATTATTGATTGTTAGAATTGTTGACGTCAAAGACGACTAAATATCAATAAAGTTTTGAATAGTATAGTAGACGACGGGATAATAATCTCAAAAAAGGATAAAATAAATATCTTCTAGTGGTGCTACGTTGGCCAGTCCCACTGGCAACCGTGGCGTTTATGGAAAAACCCACTAAAAGATAAAGGGATTTCATTTAACATAACATAAACTCTCACGCCTGTTACCCAGGAGGATGGCCAGAGACTACGAGACTACTTTGCACCATCTTGACGCCTCTCTCGCTTCTTTGTCCTTTTCCCATCCATGCTTATCTATGCATACTCGTACATGCTCATTATTCATTTATTTTTTTTAATTAATTATTTCCCAGTGGATGTTAGTGTTAAATATTTACGGATCATCATAAGACTAAAATCAAGCCCTTACTAAATATTTCTTTGGCTACTGAATTTCTAATACGGAGGAATGGACATAAAAATTCTGGGTCTGTTAAAAATATAACCTTTTTAGCCAACATGAAAATAATTAGGACAAACAATTTAATTCGATTCGAATTTTGTATATGTTACGTGATTGTAAACCGGTTTCGATAATTCTTTTCATTAAATAGTTTATACTCCTACTACTAAGGGTGGCCAAACAGTGGACGAAGTTTTTAATAAAACTATTTAGACGACATTGAGATTGAATATTCCTTAGTCCACTCAAAAGTGTAAAAAATAATTTATAATAAAAGGTAAAATGCGACAAACAATTAAAAAAAGAATAAAATAATTTTACGTTTTAAAGTCGGGCCTTTAATATAATATACGCATGTCTTAGCACCGACTTCAGAGTATGTAATTATTGTATTAGTTTTTTAGTTCTTTGTAGTCGGTTTTCCTTTTTATAAAAAGTTTATTTACGAGCAACGATCAGTTAATAATTTATCCTCAATTATTAATTACATTTCTCATATTACATACATTTCTACATTGTAATATTTGTGTAATATTTATTTGGTCTATGTTATTAAACATTTTCAGAGAAACTTAAAATGCCACTGTCCTATAAAATATATTTACCGACTTCCCCCTCGATCGGAACTTGTGCTCCAAAACTTCGGCCCTGATACACCGATCCATCGGCCAGTACGAGGCTACATGGCGGACCCAACTCACAGGTTAATTCTTTTTTATCCATTATTCTGAAATGTTTCAAATTTAACAAGTATTAACTTAGTAAATAAATTATATCAACGTATTCAGAAAATACGTCTCAATGTAAGATAATTCGGCCTATTTCGTCCCGTGGGAATAAGAGGCGGCTATGGGAATAATAGAAAAATTGACTATCGATCGATTGCGGTATATAAGCATCAAAGTACATAAGGCGTAATATACTGAGAACGTCGACATGAAGTAGCTTTAAATGTGCAAGATGTCTGACAATGCTATTCTTAATCCGCCTGGATTGAGGCAAATCATCCCAATAACGGGTGAGGTCCATGTCCAGCAGTAGACTTACAGCTTGATGATGAACAGAAGAAGAAGAAAGCACAAATGCTATCCAGTGTCTTTTGCAATCCTATCTTTTATAACAGAAGCATTTTCACAATAGGTACGATTGCTTTAAAACTGAAATCATTGTAAAGGAAGGTGCTGAGATCACCAAATCTATTTTTTCATATGTGCATACAGTCAAGCTGATGCTAAAATGATGATGTTACCCATATGTCTCTTCAATGTGTTGTAATATTTGAGGACTACGATGAGTGTATGCAATGAAGAATGCCTCGTTAAGAGTAAAAGAGATGTTCGTTTTATCATACGAAACACACCAGATATTTTATGTTGTTTTCTATGAAAGCGTGGTTCTTCTCCGGTCAAGCCGATCCATTCGTGCTGCAGTTCATAATACAGATAGCTAAGTTTGGCGACCATTAATTTAATATTTAAAACACGAGGAAATGATGTTCCTAGCAGTAATTTCCAGATAAGAGATTGAATTTCAAATGGTAATCAGTAAAATTTTGCTTGTATAGTACCGGTTTATTAAAACTTACATAGGTAAGTTTTTTTATATAAAGTTTTATGATTAATTTATATAAAACTCTTTACGGTGTTCCTGCGGTTTTATAAATAATTAGGTTCTCCAAAGTAGAGTCGTTAATCATCTATCTTTTCATAATAATTAATTTATAAACAAAGATAACGTTAGCTATGCGGAAATAAACTTTGTAAAGAACAACAGATTGTTTGGCTATTCGTCGTTAATTATACTTGAAATACGGTTTTTCACAATAAATACACTTTGATTTGTAGGATTTAAGTAGTCAAAAGCATTAAAATTCTTATTGATAAACACAGTAAATAAAGCTCAAAAAAACTGAATTTTTATGTTAAGTACTTTTTATTTTCTGTTACGGATACTTCTGGTGAATATTTTTAATAGAAATATTTGAAGTACCTATAAAGCATTAGTAATCACGTCTATTGATGATCATAATACATATCAAAGTTTAAATAATGTATCACACCCATCAGGCAATTTAATGCAGTTTCAAGGTCTTAAGTTTAAAAACACTCATTTTATTAACTAGCTCATTTGTTTTTGCCTCTGTATCGGTATCAAATAATATTTAATTATTCAAAATATACGTACTTACATGTTTTATTCTCATATATATCAAATATTAAAATAAAAGAATTGAAAGGTGCCCTTAAAATTCATGCAATAAATTTTAATGTAGGTATCAACTGCTATGAAAATAAATAATGGTACATCAGTTTAATACGAAATCGGCAAAAACATAATTTTATACTTACTACTATTCTCTGCCATTACAATATCACATAGAAGATACCTTTGTCTAAATACAGGTTAGTTGGTGGTACTAGCCTACTATATAGTGTTATTATAGCAATTCGTAAAGTGAAACGAAACTTTTAATAGATCACAATATATACTTACTAAGTTTTTAGGTTCTATTAGCCGGCCACGTGGTATTTCGAGAGATCCGCGATGTACGTCAACACAGTCGCGGTCTCCGCAACAACTGAACTGGACTGGACAAAATGCCATGCCATTGCTCCGAGAACATGTTATCACAAAGTGCGTCGTTTCTATAGAGGCATTCTCTCCTTTACACACTCAAAACAGCGAATAGGTTTGTCCCATTCGCGTTGTAATGAATGGGATACCATAGAACTTGATGCTTTATGATCAGAAGTGAGTTGCGCATTACTACTGTTTGACAATTGTGAGTTAAGTTACTTACCTACTGACTGTTTAGACTTATGCTATACTGTCTTTGAGAATAGCGTTTTTATCTGCTTTTCATTGTTTTATCATTGTTTAATGCATCATTGTCTTTCTTGGTTTGTTGGTTCTTTCCAATGAAACTAAGGTAGTTAATGGGGCTAAAAGAAATGACTGATCTGACCCAATGTAAGTTTTAGAAAAATTTAAAGCACACATGTAAACACTTCTACAATAATTTGCAAACTTAGATTCTCAACCATTTAGTTTCAGAAAGCTTCTATTTACTAACATTTTATCATGTGAACTATCGTAAATACTCTAAGATAAAAACAGTCCTAAGCGCACCATATTTGACACTAAATATAAATATATATTGTACGTGGTAGAGCCATGCTGCAGCTATATTACTGGTATAGTTATAGCACGAATGGGTCGGCTCGACCGGGGAAGGACCACGCTTTCACAGAATACCAGCATAAAATAGCAGCTTAACGCTGCTGTGTTTCGTATGGTGAGTGTAGAGAACCGGAGATCCCTTTTTACTGGAAACGAGGCATTCCATCTTAGTCCTCACGGGTGACAACGCATCGGCATTTTGATTCGTAATCGAAGATAGTTGTAGATGTCTATGGGTCACAGTAACCACTTACCATCAGGTGGACTGTGTGCTTGTTTGTCCCCCTTATCCTATAAAAAAACTTAAACAGTGATTTATTATTGTTTCTTTCAAGACATGTTTTATATTGATATAACCAAGAAACAGTGCTCTCTCAGTAAGACCAATTTACGTTTCGTTCTTCTTTTTCATCAGCCCCTTAAAGGAGTTAATTGCTGGACTTGGCCCCTGCCCATGTAGCGAGGATTTGCCATTATCACTAAGCTTGGCAGGTTGCAGTTGCAGGCGGTTGCAGTACCGCATTTTGACGATACAGTGTCGCCACTCTGAGTATTTTACATATATGGTGAGATCTTTCTTAGTCGTCTCTTACGACTTACGGGACGAATGGGGGTGAAACACTTAAGGCACCTACACACGATATATAGAAAAATATTTCATTTATTATGCCCTGGTCTATATATTTTTGGAAACGATGTTATGGATATCCATACAAGATTTACTGCTTTACTTTTAGTTTCAACTTTTAAGAACAACTTTTCTATTTTAGTTAATAATTTTTGGATCGTACAATATTTTTGTTTTGGAGTAGGTACGTCTTGGTGTGTAACTTATGGAGATATTATTTATATTATTTGTAATGGAATAGCTATGTAATTAAGGGCCCCGGGGCAAATATGAAATTGGGGCCCTATTTAAACTAAACTAAACATTTTATAGGTGTAAAACTACTTAATAATCAGCTAATAATTTTAATGTTGGTCCATACCAGGCGAACGAAGTCTCGGGCGGAATCTAGTAAAAAAATAAACAATGACGCAGTAGATTACAGTAAATAATGTAGCTAGACAATATACGAAGTAGATAATAGTAATAATAATAATAATGTTTATTGATAAACAAAATGAGGTACACATTTATTATCTAATCTTTAAGATTAAAGTTTCGGATAGAACAAAAATTTTTAAATCTATAGATAACCTACTTGTATGCAAGATGTTGTTTCATTCGAACAAAAAAGCATCTATTCTAGGCCAAGCCTGTGTCTTAAATGCTAATTTCTTCCTTAAAATAAATTAACATAGAATGAGTGGCATAGCTACCTAGGGGTTAGGCGGGGCAGTGCCCCGGGGTCCCCAAGCTAAAGGGGCCCCTCGGCCTCCAAGAACGACTCACAAAAATTATCTCACTTCCAGAACATAAATATAATATTGTTAAAGGTAATTGTCTAATTCGTTTTACTGTATTTTTTATATAGAACAAACGAGCATGTGGCTCGTTTGACCAATATACAACAATTTATTATACAACAATAATATACTCGTTTGGCAAATGCTAACACCAGGGGAATCGCAGGCGCTTTGCCGGCTTTTTAAAAAGGAGTAAGCTCGTTTCCTGAAGGTTCCTAAGTCGTATCGGTCCGACAGTAGTGAATTGGCAAACATCCCGATGATGTGGATTTGTGAAATGCGTTGATGAAATTTTGTAGCTGGAATTGATCCGAACAATTCCTTTGAACACTCCCCGTAGTAAATTCGATAGAAAATGCAAAGGGGTGCAACATCTCTTCATCTCGTCTTTCGTTTTCGTCGATTGTCGACGATTCGAGCAACTCTGCGGCGGATGCGATCAAGTGGAAGGAGGTGGTACTAGGGAGCCCCGGCCCAGGGATGAAAACAGTATTCCATGTTAGGCCGAACCTGCCCCTTGTGAAGTTGCAAGCAGTGTGCCGGCATAAAATACTGTCCCGCTCTGCTGAGCACGCCAAGCTTTTTAGAGGCCAATTCAGCCTTCCCTTCCAAGTGACCTCGAAACTGCACGTTGTTCGATATGTCAACGCCGAAGATACCGATACTGACTTAGGTAACACGGGGAGTGCCCTGAAATTGAGGAGATATGACAAAGGGGTTCTTTTTAGTGGTAAACGCGCAAACTTGTGTCTTCTGGGCATTGAAATTAATTGTATTTAATCGCCCCAATCCGAGACCTTATCCGGCAAAGACTCCACTTCAGACGCAAGTTTGTTCCGGCAACGTTTTCCAGAGAAATATAGGTACAGCCGGTGTATAAAGCATCACCAGTGCACGTAGTAAGTTATCCTTGTTTATCATAGTTTGCAATATATGTTTGCTTATCAATAATATGTTGCAAACTAGTAAGTGTGCAACATATTATTGATAAGCAGAAGAAACAGCGTAGGTTTAGGCTTGTAAATGGAGCATACACCTTCTACTAAGACTTACCTTCTGCTACGATTTTCCTTTCCAATCTGCGAGAAAACTGCTGATCCAGTTGCACAAATTCTTTGGAAGCCCATAGGCAG